TACGGCTCCCCGGTGATAATTTACGTGCTGGGGTATTTTTTTATTTTTTGAAAAGTTAAGATATTTTTTTATATATGGCAAAAGTTGGGGCATTTTTTTATTCTCTCTTTTACTTAATTATATCTGCGGCAAAGCCGCCTACTTTTAAATGTTTAAATTTTCCTAAATATATATAGCAAAATCTAAATACATGCATAACTACTGGCTACCTAGCCACATACCGTCTTCCTGTTTGGGTGCAGTCACACCATGCCCATCTCGTGTGACACACACCCCTGTTACCATGGAATGTGTAACCCCGTTCCACCGACCAAAAAGCAGTCACCGAGTCAAACCCGACATTTACAATAGCTGCGAGAGCAAAGTCGTCTGATATATAGTAACCGACCGTTTTCATGTATGAAGTCACGTATTGCGATGCGTACTCCGGTACAAAGTTTTGACGCTCGTTTCATTCAGTTAGTCTGGTTGATGTCCACGAGTGACGTTTTAAGTCTGACGGGAACTTGGGGTTGCGTTTACAGAAAATTGATCACGTTCGGCAAGCCATGACGCCTGACCTCTAAAGTATCTATTGAATGTGCTCTGGACGCATTGACAAATGTTCTTATGAAAGTGACATCAAAGCTGGATCTGTGATGAAGCACTCTGACATAACCTCCCAAGACATCACCAATACAGTTTAGCCTTTTCCCAGAAACAATGATTAGAAAATAAAAGTCTGGTATTTTTTCATACGGTTTAGGGATGTCCATTTCGAAATTCGGATAAAAACCACGGCGGAGGAAACAGACATACCACGCATCTCATACAGAATGGGCGTTGACTCTTAGAATCTGCGTGGTGCTACGCCGACTTTTTATGAAAGGTTGCGCGATAGTGTCTGCAGTAAGCCCGTCGATTCCACGACGCACTCCTCGATCCAAAGGCAACACCCATCGGAGGTCTCTTGTCACACCATGTCATGATATTTTTTTGTCGCATGGGTTGTAGGGTCCTTGAGGATAGCTGTCTCGCTGCTCGTCCTTAGTGGTCGAGATCTGCTAGAAAGATTATCAATTACAGATGATGAGTTCAGTCCTCATATATGTTCCAGCCGTACCAATGGAATGATCATGACGCCTTACAATTCATGCATACCGACCCTAGGAATACAGATAAAGAAAAGCTAGAATATAAAGCACTTACCTTTACCTAGGAATACAGATAACGAAAAGCTACTATATAAAGCACTTACCTTTCCTAGGATTACTCTGTTCACACCATTCATGAGTGTATGCACCTTGCAGTCACAAATCTTTTGAACTGATTCTATCCGCGCAATGATCGTGTCACACAGTATTGCAGACTCAGCAGTACCGCTACATTTGGCAAAGATGGTCTAGCGATGTGCAGTCGCCTCCTGGCGAGGGTTAGTCTACCGAGCGCTTTGTACGACTTCACGAGCCTAAGCCCGGTGCTGCAGCTAAAAGTTACTATTAATTATCCAGCCAAAACGGGGCCTTTGCTTACAGATGTGATCTAGCATCTCATCAGAGATAGAAACGAACTGGAGACCGCGATATACGATCGCAACTTTCGGACTTATCTGGAGACCGCGACTCACTGCCTCTTCTGCTTTCTGGACTTTACCATGATACTTAGCAATGTTGTCGCTAGTAAGTTGGACAATGTTATGCCCTGCATCAAAGCAATCGCATTTTCATGTTCAGCAGAGGTGAGACGAAATCTGCACTAGGAGTGACGTGCGTGGCACGTTTTCGACTTGCTGTCAAATCACGACTTATGGCATTTCTATCACAACCAGATCTTGAATAAGATCGTATTATTTTCATCATCTTTTTACGCTGTCAGAGTCTTCAAACTCTACAGAAAAGTACAGAAGTATCTTTGATACTCTGCGCAAAAACACACGGGTGTTGGATGCATGTTTGGCTTCTTCAAAACCACAGCATGATTTCAACTGATTTTACAGTCTCGTATCGTACAAAGTTGCACAAATCTCTTGAATCTAACAGAAATTGCCGCGGTTACACTACGCCCGCTCTGTTGGTGTTTACAGTCAACACCCAGAACAATAAGCCCCACTTTTTAAGGGCTGAGTCCCACTGATATCGACCCCATCAAATACAACAAGACTCAGATTTATCCTAACTAACGCTCTCGGCCTTCAGGGACACGACATCTTTACGCGCGGGGTTTGTCCGTACACTCTGCACGAGGGTTTGATTTTTCGCGCCTCTTCGGCAATAGAGAAGGGAATGCAAAGCGCAAATGTTTTATGATTCCACAATATGGATGTTATATAATCAAAACCACTGTGCACTTCGGCAGCTAAACGACCACAACCTTTCTTCACAGCCTGGACGAGGGATTCATAGCTTCTCGCGGGCTTATACGACCCCATCTTTAGCGCTCCAACCAGGCCTCAGGACCCGAAAATTGTGCTTCGCGTATTGTGCTACATCCCCCATATCGACATAAGCAATAGAGTGAAGGCAAAAGTTTTAGTGCGAGACAAACCTTACGGAAGACCGCCTATGAAATGAAAATCGAAAGCGGGTCGACCACCCTAACAATCAAAGCTATCATGTCTTGCATATGGACCGATATTTTTTTTTTCTTGACAAGAAATCTGATCGCTCACGGTTTGCACTGTTGGGTCATGTGAACATATGCAGCACCTACTTTTGATCAATTCCCGGTAAAAACATCCTCACTATAGAGGTACCGCACATAGGTTCCCGATCTCGCTCTTAGCCTCCTGGCTTAGCGACCGCTAGCGCGAGGCGATTTTGCTACATACAGAGCATAGTTATGATTCATTGCCATTTTAACCTTGCTTAATCATAAATTAACCTCTACCAGCTCTAAAAGAGCTCAATGTTTGACAAAAGTGGCCAAGTGGCTTGGAGCTGCACCACAGCGCATTTATATAGTTTGTGAGCGCCTCGAGGCACGTCATAACTGCGAGTGACCTTCGGTCTGTCAACCATGCTACCTCCTCGGTATCAAATTGAGGAAGAACCTTGTTTAGTGTCTATTGTTGCCCGATGAATAACAAAACGTACCACGATCCATCCTGATGTAGGATATAGTTGCATTCAGACCTGGTCGCTGATTTAACGACGACTGCTACCAGATGGATCACACAGAAAAAATCAAGACTAGTAATCCGCGCCAAATAATGCACAGAGAAAAGTCTCGCACGCACCACATAGGAGAGGAACAAGTGTCTCCCGAAACACTTCTTCGCGTAAATAAATAATCCAATAGTCCAATCAAAAAAGGTGTTACCTACATTGACACACAATCGTCGAAATTGAAACTACATGTATCTGTTTACTCTTTCGAGTAATAGAACCTAAAAAGCGAATATCGTGAGGTCAGTGGCCCTTGCGTCTGGCAGACCTCTCCTATTTAAGCACCATCACTTTCTTAGATTTTTTATATAGCTCTGAGCTTCACTTAAGCAATAGTAGGATGTGGACTTACACCATGATAGAGCAAGTACCTTATTACACCCTCATCACCACCCTGCTGGAATCACATAAACTAAGTAATTTTATAAGACATGCACTTCTAGTGAAAATTCCACAAGAATCAACTACTCCGGGATTTTTTTCTCCAACTGCGTACAAAGCGTACAAGCTCACGAGCTCTCTTTTGCAGGGAGATTCTCATTAATACTCCTTCAGACGTAGGGCTTAGTGAGCCGCTTAAAGCAACGTCGCCCCTGCGGTCGAAGTTTTTAAGGCCTCGTTCGATGCGGAAGGCGGTAGGGTTTCTAATAAGTGGTCAAAGCGACTCACCAAACCCGAACAGTGTATGTTTGCAGATGTGAATGAAGGACTTGAAAGAAGCTGCTGTCCTTGCGATTGCAAAGCACAATAAACCTTTTCATGTGGTCTGCGACGCAAGTGATTATGCCATCGATTGTGCGTTGATGCAAGACGAAGATGATGATCGAGAGCGTGTTGTTTTGTACGAGTCATGACAACTCCGGCCCGTGGAGCAGAACTATCCAGTTCATGACAAAGAGCAACTAGCAGTGAAGTCTGCTTTAGTTCCATGTGTTCTTGCTCAAAGAGGAGCACTTTGCGATCTATACAGATCATGCATCGCTGCGCACGGAAACAAAGACTCCTCGTTTACCGCAAAGAATGAACCGATGGCTTTCTTCCTTTGCGGAGTTGAATTTTGTCTACAAGCCAGGCAAGAGAAACATCTTAGCCGATGCGTTGTCATGACGTTTGTACGATGATTCAAAGTCCAGAAGCGAAAACATGCCCGAGACATGTCAATGCAAATATGTTCAGACGATCAGAGTGTAAGCAGCGACTACAATGCTTGAAGAAGTTGTCGAAGCGTACAGGTCGGATGAGACATGTCATATATTACAAGGACCTTTCCGACAAAGCACTGCAAGGTCTTCTATCTCACACAAGATCGCATGTTCACCGTTTTAAAGTACACGATTGATTTTTTTGTACCATGCAGTTGGACACGAGGGAATAACAAGAGTTGTTCAAACGACGGAGTTTTGCATCAAAGTCTCTGAAATGAAAACCATCACAGCCCTTCGAGTGGCCATCACGGACAAGAAAAAATGTTTCTCACTCTTTTCCGGTTTTACTAACATCCACGTATAAGTGGGTGCGCAAGTATGTGACGACTTGTAAGATTTGCCAGTGAGTGAAACTATCCGGTTCCACTTAGGCTTCATTATTGTCGTTGGCAGAACCAACTTACGACTAGAAGTCTGTGTGTATAGACTTCATATTCGGATTTCCGCGTGACGCACATGGACACAGTGGCATATTTGTATTGGGTGACCGATTCCGCGAGATGGTTCATCTTGCGCCTGTTGTGGACAAAAACTCCAAAAATCTCTGCCGAGAAAACAGCTAAGGTCTTTGTAGACGTTGTTCACTGTCTGCATGACCTTTCTGTTGAGAGCCTGTATGGCCGTGACACCCGTTTCACGTTGAAATTTGGCGTGCACTGTTTGGACTATTGGGCACCAAATTGTCCATGTAAACGGCGGCACACCCTAGATTGGCTGACGGTCAAACAGAGCGTGTGAATCGAGACCTGGAAGACACACTGCGCAGTTGTGCTACGTCTTTCAGAGAATAGAGTGCATCTTTCCCTCTTCAAGATTTTTCGCTTAGCATCTCCTCGCATGGCTCGACTATGGTATTACTCGTAGAGTAGTTGCTTTCGTAATGGGCAAGTCTCTACCTTAAGGGGTGGGGGCTATGGCTCGATTGCCACAATCAGGAATAAATGCTGTCAGAAATTTGGAAAGACGTGAGCCAAGTTAAAAGAATACTCGTCCTTCCGTAGTCAAACAAGTTCATCATGAACCTACTTAAAAATGGGACTCCAAAGCCAAGTTTTGGGCGTAGCCATCAGTCAGAACGTCGAGTTTCGAGTTCTGCTCTCCAACAAGATTCGAAGGCTTTAGCAGCAATCTTCAAGCGTCGAGCAACGCAATACCTCAATTTACCCGCGATGAGATCTCTACCACTTCCAGAGTAGCTCAATCGTTTTCACGTTCAACGCCATGTGGAGAGCATCGTTGAGTGGTTGAGACAATTGTTAATCACGAGGATCGATCGACTTGTGGAAAGAAGCAGTTGAAGCATCAACCCTTTTACAGAGTTTGATGGCGCGACTATCCATCAGACTTAGATACGTGGAAACCTTGTCAGGCCCTAAATTCTGATGTCCCCGACGTGGACTGCAGCTACAATAATCATTTTTAGTGTTGCTAGAGCAACGCTTAGACGTCTCAAGCTTAGTCGCGCTCGATCGTGACTGGGAGTCCTGCCAGCGCCGACTACACGAGCAAACGCTTCATCCTGTCCTCGTTCGGAAAGCGAACAAATGTCTAGCTTGCTGTGATAAGCTGGGTTATATCATCAACATTATTGCTACGACGCCAACAAAATAAATGGTCCATAAAGAAACTCGTGTATTCTTTTCTTGGTGGAATGAAGGAAACGCCAAAGAGTTATGAAACCGTTCTTTGCCGTTTGGCGAGGAATGCTCTATAGTGATGGATTATTCGCTCGATTGCTTCATTGTTGATCGAAAAGTGAGCTGCTCCAAATGGGTTGCAATAGTATTTAAATACTTTTGACTAAAAAAAGGATGGTGTAATGGGCAACTCTTAGCCATTACATGAATTTATACCAATGTACCTTCCGTATGCATTGTGGGAACTGATAAAAAAAATATTACAGTTTGACATTCCCAAATGCATATATGACATCTTATATGAAGTCGCAAGCATTCTTTGATTCAAAATGCTTATTTCTTCTGGGGGATCTGTACTGGTGGCAAGACCGAGTTCACTGGCTTACGCCACATACTTCTACTGGATACTCCATGATGATTGAAGCTCAAGCTTTTGTTGTTCAAGCTCCGTACGCCCAAGATCGAGTATAAGCTGAGGCTGAGATTTACCTTCATTACACCCTACAAATACAAATCAGTAACTCAAGATTTTTTTTAGCAAAACCTCTAGAAGCCATTAAAGTTTTTTGCTTGTAGCTAGGAACGATAAGCTTTTTTTTAGCTCAGTCGCAAATTAGACTAAAAGTCCTTAAGTCGTTCTTCTTTCCTCCAAGTTGGAACTATTCTTCTCCCTTCACGCCAGAAATTGCTTCCTCGTCGCCCAATTGTGTGTTAGATGTTTGAGTGGTTGTTTGTGCACGGCGCCTTTTTACACTGACTTAACACCTTCGCACACTAGACGTTCACCGAGGAAGGCGCTAAATGTCCTTCGCCTTGTTTAAGGCTATTCAAGATTAGACAACGTGATCATCACTGATACATCGGTCAAAACCTGCTAGATCAACAGCTCACAATATTGCAGTGCAAGTTTAGTAAGAGTTGAGTACATGATATCAAGCGCAGACGACAAAAAAGTAAATATGTGTAGGTAGCCCATACCATATGCAGAGGCAGTAAATTAGGTTTACAATCTTAGGATTGATCAATTATCTTCTTTCTTTGCCATTTACTGCTCGATTAATGGTTGTTTGACCCAAAATTTAAGTAACCGCTATTCATAACTGCCCCGCTTGTGCTATGGACCCCTCCCACCCCAGCTGCATCAACATTTTTTTATGAATTGCCTACTTTTACACAGCATGCAGGAAAATACGTTAAAAACAAGTTGTTTGTCATCTGATGCCTCTATCCTTGCTTCAGCCGTATCGAACTTATTTACTGCGCCATCTTATAAAGCTCTAAGAATTCATCCCACGACAGATCAAACTTCGCGGTCGGTGTTGTCACCGACCTGGGTCTCGCATTTTGTGTTGCTGTTACCATTAGTCTTTCGTAGACTACTGCACTTTTTCATAGATTTACACATTTTTTGTTCTGGTTTCTAGGCGCAACGCATTCGTCTGAGAGGACAAAACAACAATATCTGAAGGGTTTACATGTTTAAATTTTGTAGATCTACTGAAGTTACGCGGGGGATTCAGTTACACTTTGTATAGTAAAGCTTTCAAACTTCTCGTTGCCATTT